TGTGTGTGTGGTCCTGGAAGGCTGTCGATAGCTTTCTCCACGTAGAGTTTTTATCTTCATTAGATTTGATTCTCCGCAGTTTGGCGTCACATGGCGTACAGTTTTCTGCTTGCACAAGGACATAAAATGTTCCTCAGGCCACGACGATAACTTTCAACAAATGACAGACAAATTATTGGATTGACGGTGGAAGATAAGTAAAACGAGAAACTCGACACAAAAAATAGTTTTCTCTGAATGGCACAAGAAGATCTCCGGTATGGGATGAAATATACCAAAGTGTTTGGAATAACACAAAAGTAACACAAAACCAAGATAGCAACTGCCATTTTAATAGCTTGTCTTCGTTTCTTCGAGGCATGAGATTGTGCGTTTGAAGGGGTGTCCGCGAGTACCTTTCTCTGCAGTTTTAAGGTAATTGTTATCGCAGTGTACATAACGGTTATTACAACTAACGGAGCAATGATAAGTAAAGAAAACTGAAGCCAAACATATGTCACGTTAGCTTTCTTGTTAAAGAAAAATGATTCCATATTTGTCTCTGCACAAGCTGTGTCATTGCCACGCGCAACAAGTTTCGAAGATATTAGCAGTGGAAAATTGACAAAGCCTGCACAAATCCAGGTAGAAACGATGGCTATCGTTCGAATCTTGCTTGAAATAAGTCCAAGTTTCATTGGAAAAACTACGGCGACAAATCTATCAATTGCTATCCACACCAAGCTTTGCGTTGACACAAGAAAAGACACATAGCCTGCGAAAAAGAACAACTTGCACAAAATCGCTCCTAGGATTCCACTGACGTACCAATGCCTTGAGTCGGTCACCAACTCAGTTATTTTAACTGGGAGTATAATCAGAGAAAAAACTAAATCAGACAAGGCCATGTTCACGATGAAGTAGTTAATTGTTTTTCGTAAATCTCGATTCTTGTAGACGATGATGATTATGAAGATGTTTCCAAATAAACTGCCCGGTAGAATAAAACAGTACGCGAAGAGTTTGGAAAATCTCTCTGCAGTGGAATCAACAAAGGGACACGTGGAGTTCACTTGGTCCTGTGCAGATTTGCTGGAATTTAGTGGATCTGTTGTATTGTTCCACCAGGACATGATGTAGTGCTGTACATCAACCACACTACTGATGCTAGTGCTTAAAAAACACACCCTTATATGAGCATATGCTTCCTTGCAACTGATTAAAACGGAAAAACAATTTCCATTCTCGTTGTTTTATGTTGTCAGTCAAGGATATATATATTAAAATCCAGCATTATTAACTTTCCTTCTTTCATTCATAGAAAATAAAACAATCAGCTTTGATTAAACATCAGCAGGCTTACAGAATGTAATAAGGACTTCATCAGTGTAAAACAACGACTTAGTTTGCATAAAATGACAACATCGTAATTGAAAGTTCATATCATGTTGTAAACATATCCCTTCAACAGAATTCATCTGCATGTTTTCTCCATCTTCGAAAGGCTTAACGGCCGGATGGACAAACAAGAGTCAGGTCCAAATGAATTATTATAATTTTTGTACGAACCTGTACAAATAAAAAACCGTATTCAGTATATTTGCTATGTACAACACGGTTTTGTAGATTTCTGAGGAAATCTAAAATCGTCGTTTTTAGATGTCGTTGACATTAGTTAAATCTGCTGCTTTAATTTTCAACTATGCTATCCCATTCTTGTCACAATGAATTTGAAAATGAATCCAATTTTGATGGTTTCACACGTTTTTATTCTTTTATCGTTATATTATAGCGTAGACTGGATTCTGTGTGCGCTCTTATTGGCTTAGACTTTCAGAAAAGTCCTTTGTCTTGCTTATTTATTACCCGCTGGACCTCTCGCGACTTCGTCGCTCGCTCGGCCGCCTCGGGACCTTCAATTCGAAGAGGATTGTTCCGATTGCTTCAAGTCATATATTATAAGTTTTACTTTTTCGTTTTGCAAACAAGTAATTTAAAATTCCTTGTCTTCACAGAGAAAAAGTAATTTCACGTTGCGAGCCATAAAAATAATAGAAGATATCCTTCTTTTGCGTTGGCATAAATAAGTAGATATCTTCAGAAATAAGCTACCGAAAGGCGAATGTAAACTGCGTAAGGCGCGTGAAAGAATGAAAACAACCTTAAAAACGAATTTAATGACCACTTTCCCATTCTCAGCCTTTGGTTAATATTATAAAATATGGCAAATTTATGAGACGGGAAGGCGTGAAGGATTATGGGTCATCACTAGGTAAAGACAGACAGACCTTCCCATAATTCCCCACGTTCCACTTTCATCTCATAAGATTCGACTCATATAGATAGAGTAATGAAGGTCCAGCGAGTTTAGGTTGAATTTCCTCTGTATTAGGGACACCAATATCTCTACAAAGCAGTATCCAAACTTTCTTCGTAGTTTTCTATGTCGTCATTGAAAGTTTGTGGACAGTTTCCTCCGCGAACATTTTCCCTTCCTTTTAAAGTTACTTGCCCACTTTTCGCCATCATACTATTCCACTTTGCACAGCAGGAACACAAAATGTTTTTCAGTCCACGACGATAACTTTCAACAAATGACAGGCAAATTATTGGATTGACAGCGGTAGACGAGCAATAAGCGAAAAACGCCCAAAAATAAAACAGTCTAATAAAAGCACAAGAAGGTCTCCAATGTATATAGGGAGCGAAATACAGCGAAGATTGTGGAATAATACAAATGTAAAACAACGCTACGATAACAGCCAGCATTTGAATGGCTTGTCTTCGTTTCTTCAAGGAAAGTCGTTGTACATTAGGCGCGCTATCCGCTAGAGCTTTATTTTGTCTTTTTAAAGCAATTGCTGTTGTAGTGTACAAAACGCTTGTCAAAAATAACGGAGATAACAGAAAGAAAGTCACTTGAAGCCACTCATAAACTGAGTTAGCCTCGTGGTTAGTGAAAACTGATCTTACGGCGCTGCAAAACGCATAGTCGCCATGTTGAACAAGTCCCCAAATTATCAGCTTTGGAGAATTGAGCAGGCCTGCAAAAATCCAAGAGGATGCGATAGCCATGGTGCGAATCTTGGTTGAGATGAAGCCAATTCTTATTGGGAAAACAACAGCAACAAACCTATCGATCGCGATCCACACCAAGCTTTGAGCGGAAACTTGGATGGACACAGGGTTAGCAAAATGGAATAACTTGCAAAAAATGGATCCCAAGATTCCCCTGACGGGCCAGTACGATGAGGCAGCTACCAATCCAGTTATTTGAAAAGGGAATACCACTAGCGCGAATATCAAATCCGACACGGCCATGTTCACGATGAAATAGTTGACTGTCTTGCGTAACTCTCGGTGTTTTAAGATGATGATGATTATGAAGACGTTCCCGAAGAAACTCAGCATCAAAATGAGGCTGTACGCGCAAACACTGGAAATTTTCTCTGCAGGAGAATCAACAGTGACACAGAGCGAGTTCCCTTGTGCCTGTGCAGTTAAATTCGTCGTATTGGATGTTAGTAACATCGTCTGCTGATTTAGTTTTCGAATTCAACCGTACTGTCGGTGTTAGCGGCTTAACGGTGTGTTCGCAAAATAATGCAGTCAGATTCCGCCAGCGTGATAAGGTTTCCATAGTACAAAACACAATCGCTGGTGAGCGAAATGCTGCCGGAAGATCACATCACGGCCGAAAATATGCGAAGCTCTTTAATTTTATTCACAAAGAATAGACGAACACCTCAGTTTGACATTAATTTTAAATGAATGTTCGAAACATCGACACGTCGAACAACCATAATGATAGTATTTTAACTAAAATCTATTAATTTTCAAAACATCATGTTTTTTAATTGATCAGGTGTACCGCATATGAAATTATGCAAATTCAATATCATTTATTGCATTTAGTTGGTCATGTTATTATTTTCGTCTGGCTAACTTTTACAATAGAGTAATTTTCTCAACCCCATAGAAAGAAAGTAATTTCAGGTTGCTAGCAATAAAACTAAATTTCTGTCCTGCTATATTATTACTGTCTTTTTTTAATGTTTACACTTTACCAGCAAGTAATTTCCTTGACATCATTGGGAAAAGACGCTTTAAATTGAAAGCAAGGAAGCTTTATTAAGCCAGCCTTTTCATACAGCAGTTTATGATTTAAGTAACACAGTGAAAAAAAAAGCTGTGAAAAGGTGGGGTTATGAAGCGCGATCTAAGTTTTCCAAAACGTTTACGAATGATCCCAGAACTAAGTGGAAATCAAGCAATAAGATACATTTTTTAATTACACAGACGAAGTAATTTTGTTTCTCCACAAAGTTATGGTAATTGGTTTGAAGCGATATGGAAGTTGCGGGATCAATTTGTGTGTATGAGTGTTGATTGCTGGCATTACAATATAGTACGTGTACTGTGCATGTTGTTCGAACTTTTCAGTTTGCGACTGAAATCCTGACGCACCATAAAGTACACCATTTGAGCTGTTTTCTCCTGCGGTGTTCGATATTGCATTTTGAAATTTGTAGCTTGAACTCTTGGAGGTCTCCTGAACAATTAGAGCCTAAAGTGGAGGAGGCGTGGCCGAGTGGTTTAGGGCTCTGGACTGGAAATCTGCAGGTCCCTTAGTCAAATTCTCCACCCTACCGCTATCTGGATTTACTTTCGGTAGTTCCGAGTTCAACTCCTCGACCGTGTTGTGTTAATAGCCAACTGGTCAGCCTCCTACCAGTTGGGATTCTTAATAGCTTCTGTTCTATTTGCAACGTTTGTTTATTTATTTACACTGTCCCCAATTAGCACAACACTGCTACATAAACGTTGTTTACTTTATATCTTGACTGTGTAATTCTTCTGATATTTATGCACTGTGTATTTCATTTCAACGTGGAAAAAAATAATTTACCCCCCTTACCTTTCGATTGCTGTTTTCTTTAAATTCCGCATAATGTATACCATCTTGACTGTACGACAAATAACACTGAGTCACCCATTGACGGGCGTCCTGTCGTCCTTGAATAGCGAACTTCACCACCCTTTTAGGGCGTCCAAAGTTCACCTGATACCACTGTAGACGATTGTTGTGGCGCGCGCACCAGGCCCCCATTTTCGCGCCGACACGGTGCAGATGAAGCCTGCCTCTGTTAGGTGCATGGTTTCTGTCCCAGCTGGACGAAGCACTAAGTTGGTTTGCTTTGATGCGGCCATTTTGCATTCCTAAGGGCTTGTTGCAGCGTGGTCCTTGAAAAAGGTGAAGTGAATTAATGTTAGGTCCACTTCAGACGCCGAACTTTTCATGAGTGGACCTAATACGTTAAATTAAGTACATGAAAAGTTCGGCGTCTGAATCAGTTAAGAACGGCTATTCGAATTTGGAACGGTTCAGCTGTTCTTCCCGCCTAGCTTAACCAGGAATTTGGAACGGCTTTGATTCATACGTCGAACTTTTCATGTGTCGAACCTAACGGCATAAATTAGTATTTTACAAGAAGTTTACACTTTGCCTGAAAACCACTGACATTTCGATGTGTTTTGGATCAAACTAAACTACGTTCGTCGAATTAAGTTTGACGTCTGAGTCAACAGGCGTACTTTTGATAATTTGGGTCGGTCCAAATTCGAATTAAGTTCGGCTCATGAAAAATTCGGCGTCTGAACTGGGCCTTCAATGTTTCAATCCGACACTATTTCTTCATCAGAATTTCACATCTCGATGAAGTAAACTGCGTTTTTCAAGAGAACACAGCTATTATCAAGACAAGCGTGACAGATCGTTGAGATTTCAATTGTATTCCAGCAAACAAAACTGTTCATGGATAAGTGGGCAATTGTTGCCTTCTAAAAGTGTTCTATGATAAATTTGGTTTTAAAAAAAGTAGCAAAAAAACCCCACTTTTTTCGCTTATTGCCCCTAAAAGTGAGATTTTACAGAGGTCGTAATCTATGAGAAATTACAATGATTTGTGTGGTAGGTAATTTTGTTGCCCATTTCATATAAATCAGTCTAAATTTTGAACACCTTCAAACTTTCGTAAAATTTCACCCTTATGACAATAGTAGGCTTAACAGGATTGGCTTAGAAAATAATTGAGCAAAAAACAGAAACAACGAACCAATAGAGGTGCGTAAAACAGGGAGCGAATGAAATAACAGGTTCTAAAGAGGTAGGTGACTTCTGCAAAGACTTCTAGCTTGTTGATAAACGTCCTTTAATTTTGATCCATCTCTCCTTCCACCCTCTTATCTTTATGACGGTAAGTCGTTGCGTGACCAATTAATGCAATAAGGACAACTGAACACTTACCAACAACACAACCGTAAAATTCCACTCTCATTGAGATCCAGCTGTACCACGTGACAGGACGGATTCTGAAGTAGCGTGCAGTGATACACCTTGCTAGTCTGTGACGTACGATGATGAACTGATCATAATTGCCTTGGAATATCTAAGAAAGAAGCCATGAAGAAGTCAACATAAAAAACCTTCGTAAGGAACTTTAAAGCAAAACGTTGCTTTTTAATCAAGTGGCTTTCAAGCAAGTATTTAGATGTTTTCGCACTACATAGTGTTGAAAGAACGTTTGATCTGTAATTGTGAGAGTCCACACGTTTGGTGTTTTAAGAGATTATCGTTAAGTCTACATACGAACCAAGTGGCCCATCAAGCCGGCGTTTATCTCCTGTTTAAATAACACGAAGTGATTAGAATCGAGTATTTCTACTACCCCCCGGATGGGGGATGCTAGTCCATCGCAGGGTAACTCCAGCATTAAAGTCCCCGGTACCCAGTTGTACACCTGGGTGGAGAGAGGCACTGTAAGAGTAAATTGCCTTTCCCAAGAGCACAACAAAGTGCCCCAGCCAGGGCTCGAGCCTGTACCACTCGATTCGGAGTTGAGACCACCGTGCCTCTCAATAAGAATTTATACCTTACAATGTACATATTTTTTTATCGAAATTTTTGGTGTTCAGTTGTGTTGAATCTTTTACATGTGAAAAATGTTACCTTGGTACGCCTGCCTTCCCTGTACGGAATAAACTTGTATCCGTTTCTGCTGTATGTTATATAATAACTAGTGACCCACTGGGCGGAGTTCTGTCTTCCTTGAGTCGCTACACGGCAAACTTTTGTAAGCGCGCCAAAATCAATCTGAAGCCACTGACGCCGGTCTCGCCTCTTTGCACACCAGGCCCCTCCCTGTCGGCCGTAACGTCGCCTGTTGAGCCTGGCGTTGAACGGTCCACAGTAGTAGTTGTAAAACGAAGACGCGCGCATGAGTGGATCTGGAACTCGGCCGTCTTCCACACCGAGGGGCATATCACAACGATCTATAACATGTCAAGTATGCTACTTGTTAATCATTTAGTCAACATTCCCGTGTCCAAAATTTTCAGCATTAATTGTTTCCTTCCTCTTTTTAACAATTAGATTATGAGCTCGAGATTTCTATCGCGTGATAGTTGATGATCAGGGCGCAGCCCAAGTCAAATATCACGCATAGAAATCGAGAGCGAATAATCTAATTGTTTTAATATAAATCTTCTAGTCGTTCAAAAGTTTATCTTAATCCTCTACACACGCAAAGAAGCGACCGCCGGTCTGTTAACGAGCGTACACTGCTAGGCTACTCACTGTGTGCAGCAGAATATATAGTGAGTAGTGTAGCCAATCAGAGCACGGCATTCGTGATAGAACGCTAGTAGATTATACTAAAGTGATTTAGACTTCGTCTATACGTCTTAGTCATTCGGATTTAATCTAGATTCGGCTGAAAAATCAGATTCGTACAACTTACTCCATGGTCCTCCGTACAATTCCAATCTCATGGAAATATGTGCCCTCCAGCCACGAGGTATAATTCGAATGTACCGTCCATAGACTGGTGGATCGAAGGGATGCGTTTGGACAGACACTCGGTCTCGGTT